CCCTCTCCTTTCCTCTCTCTGAAAACAATAAAAATATATTAAAAAAAAAAAAAAAAAAAGAAGCTCCTGGAGCTGTATTCCAACTAACAGGACTGAGACTTTCCAGGTCCAATGGACTCTGCAGTTAGATCCCCATCAGCATCTTCACTGACCAATCAGAGCAACTCCACTCTGACCAATCAGGATAGTGCTTTTTGGACCAATCAAGCTGTGAGGATTTGGAACCCTCATTTGCATGAGAACAAAAGGCAGGGACTTCTCCCTAAGTCAGATCCCCTCTAGCTGTTCCACCAAGGAGTGTGCTTCTCTGTCTAGAGCTGTTAAGGCCGGAGCAGAGCCTTCTCCGCAGACTGGAGCAGACCAGAGCTATCAAGCCAGATAAGGGCTGAGCTGCAACACCAGGGCTGAGGGCCTCACCCCAGGGCAACCTCATAGTCATGCTTTATCATGATTAAGCTGTTTGTACTTGGTGATTTCCATTGGCATTGAATTGGCACCAACAACCATCAGTTGACAAGAAAATGCTAAAGTTGTGACATGCTTTTGATCAGTGCACTGAAGAAGAAACCTAGCGGCGAGTCACCACTCCCTGACATGCAAAGTAGAGATGAGCGTGAACATAATTTTGGGGTATCTATGCTTGTGAGGCGCGGGGAAATTCCTCTGACTTCTGTCAGGAGCGGAACCTCACACACTGCCCCAACATGGGGCACCTTGTTTTCATAAATGAGGGACATTCTCTGTTTTACCCAGAGGTTCACAAGAACCTCAGGTGGCACATTTTTCCTGCTCAAGTCGGGACCCTTGAAATCTATGCACCAGTCTATGGGCTCCAGGCTGAGATCCCCTGAGTTGTGCCACCTCTGAAGTGCTTTGCATTGCCCAGAGTTTATGATTTCAGGGTGCAGAGCATCATTTCACAGCAGGCCAGGTGAAAGGTGGTGGTTCAGGCCGGTGGCTGCATCCTTAAGTGGAGAATGTCTGACCTCTCCATGCTGCCATTAAAGCTTCTTCACCTGGACAGAGGGCCCCTTCCCACCCCTTTGAATCCCCAGATGTGCTCTCTCAGCCGGGCTGGAGTAACCCTGGCCTCCGGTCCCCCTGGACAGAACTAGACACCCCTGGATTTCCCCCTTGGGCCCAGTGTTTCCTCCCCAGTCTCTTGTGCTGTGTCCTCCCCCAACAATGACTCCATGGAGAGGGCACTCACAAACTCATTGCTTCTTTTGTACATGTTGTCCTCCAAGTGGCAGTGGCCATCGTTGGGGGTCAGAATGGCTCCCAGCTTCCCATCGCCGGCAATGTGGAAGCCATCGTCGGTGGCGAACACCAGCAGCCTTGTGACGTTACGCCAGCCAATTTCCTCCTGAGAAGGAGAAGGTGAGGTTACCTGCTTCAGTTTCCTCCATGGGGCCCTCACAGAGGAGAGGTGACAAATTTTCCAGGCAGGAGGACCCAGAGACAGGACCCAGGCTGGGACCAGCTTTTCGACTCGTGTTCCCATGTCTGGTTCAGACTCCAGTGCCTGGGGCTGGAGGTACATCTTTATGGTGACAAGTTCCCAAATGCCCATTCAGCGGGACACTGAGGGGAAGTGAGATGCATGTTTATATGAAAACACATACGTCCTCTGAGGCCCAATCCGTGCAGACCTGGGACTAAATCCTAAGGAACTATGTATTCCCAAAGAGGAAAAGAAAATACTCATAGAAATGTGTGTCACAACATAAAAACTGCAGACACAAAGAGCAAAGAACCCAAAGGTCTCCGAAATGGGGGATGAGAGGCACGTTAGCAACCTGAGTGTCATCACTGTGACATCACACAAAAGTGAAGCGTGTGTCTGTGACGCAAGGACAGCACTGCAGAAGGACCTGCAGGGAAGCTGGAGGACTGGAAGCTAGTTTGCAAAGGGTCAGGGCTGAGTGGTTAAAAACACGGGGTTGATGGTGTTCTACCATTTACGTCATAAACCCAGTGGGTAGACAGACCAGGCAGGACCTGTGGGTGAGGGGGCAGCCAGGGGCAGGGGAGGCCCCTGGGGGAGGGGCCGCCTAAGCCAGGTGACATGAGGGAGTCTCTGAGGACGCCCCTTATTTCTGGAGGGGGAAGGAAGTGGGGGGGCGGTATTCTGCTCCGGGGACCGCCAGGATCTGGCTGCTCAGTGGTCTTGTTTTACAAGATCCTTTGCTCATATTTAGGCTTCAGAAGCTATGCCTGCATCACAAACTGGTAATGACATCTCTGGGTGACTGGAGGGACCTCTAAGGGGGTTTAAGGTGAAGGTGGCTGTGGGGTTGAGGTCCCCATGGGGGAGATCAAGGGACAGCACGGGGACTGGGCCTTACCGGGCACGCTGCGACCTGCATCATGGCATCTAGCCCTCCCTCAGGGGCATCCAGGTTCCCAGAAATCAGCTGCTTCCCGACCTCTGTCTGGAACTGGTTGGAGTTGTCTGTGAGCTTCAGCACATGCCTGAAGGCAAACGGGGCCTGGCACTCCTTCTCTTTTTTGGGGCACGGGTTCCTTAGCTTCTCGGGGTGTGTGTTGACGAAGGGGAGCACCGTCTTGTCCACGAAGGATCCGAAGCCTGAGGGGCAGCCAGGGGTTAGTGGGGGAGGGGGAGATGGCACCAGGTGGGGGGAGGGCAGTGCCACAAGCCTGGGGACAAGGGTGGAGCCTCAGTTTCCCTACCTGGTGAGGACAGGGGGGAAAGTGAGATCACCCGTGGGGTGTGTGAGCACAGGTACGTGTCCAAGTGTGTGCACATGTGTAGTTAGGTACATGTGTGAGTGTGTGTGTCCCCACACGTAGACTTTGCTCAGAGGGAGGCAGAGATGAGAGTGGGATGGTCCTTTCCCTTACACACGTGTCCAAGACCTGCACGCTGTGAATGAGTCCCTGCTTGTCGAGCGCCGAGGCCCTCGGCTGTGCACGTTCGCTGTGATTATTTCATTAACGGTGTGATTACTCTGCAGTCCATAAACTTTTGTGACCTTTAATTTTTTAATAACTAGCACTGTAAGACTATTGTCTTTTAAACATATCAAAGAACAAACCAAAGGAGAAGGAAGGGGAGAGGAGAGGGAGCGGAGGGGCTGGACGGTATCAGAGAGCCAGGCCCCTGGTATAGCCATGGTGAGGGCGCAAACAGGGACATTGTGTGAAGCCCCCAGTGCCCTGTCCCTCAGGTGTGGGTGTGGGGAGGTGTGTGGGCAGCAAGGCCAGCTGAGATTCAGGGCAGGACTCAGTGGGTTGACCTCACCAATGCGGCCAGACTCGGTGATTTCGTTGAGGGCCCGGAGTAGGTCACCCCCCAGCTTCTTGACATTGATGAGGTCATCAAGCATGGAGTAGGACAGGTCCATCAGGTAGTACAAGTCGATGGGGTAGCCCTTGGCGCGCTGGAAGGTCACGTTGAACGCAGCCTCCTGACCTGCCGCAGACCCGGGAGAGAGTGGGAGGCAAGTCAGTTTGGGCAAAGCTGGTTTAAACGGTACTCAGGTTGCTGGCTGCAGGACTTATCAAAGCCTTTCCTCTGCCAGGCCTTCTGAGAGGGGAATAGCATAGTGTTTTCCAGAAAACACTAGAATGGTTTTTCCTCCTTTCTACAAAGAACAGAGAACACGGGGCTAAGAGACACTAGCTGTAAAACCCCAGTCGGAACCAAGCCTACCAGGTCTCAGGTAGAGTGTCACTTTCTGTGGGAACAGCTGCTTTTGGCCCCCCTCATGGGCCTCCTTGGTCTCAGCGAAACTTCTGGGGTCCATGATGTCGTCGGCTGCGCAGCCCTTAGAGAGCAGCTGTGCCCTTGTGTCACAGCGAACGGAGTCGGGCTCTCCTTGCCCCGGGAAGTTCTAGGAGGGGAGTCGGGAAGGGGGAAGAGAAATATGGGGGGCCCACACTGTGGGAGTTGTGCGAGGCTGACCTTCAGGGTCACTTGAGGAGGCTGACCCTCCTCATTTGCTTCAGCTCTCAAGATAAGCATCCTTATGATACAGGGACAAGGTGAGGTGCTGGCCAGTCCCCAGGGAGACACCACCCTAAATGAGGCTCCAAGACCACATCAGAGTTTGGGGGCAGCAGTTCTGCCACTGCCTGCAGCACCAGACACCACTTGAGAACTATCTTCTCCAGCCCAGCACAGAGCCTGTCCTGACCCAGCACAGCCTCACTCTCTGGGCGGCCTGCAGGCAGCCCTGGGACAGGGGTCAGGTCTGTCTGTCTCTCTGAGAGCAGACAACCCTGTGCCTTGTTCTGCTCCTGCCCCACTAGGAAAGGGACTGGTGATGGTCCTGGGTGCCCACAGTTTCAGAAGCAGCAAAAGGGGGTCCAGCCCTAGAGGTGGGCAGGTGGGAAGGACCAGCCAGGAATGAGGTTCTTACCGGCTTCTGGCACCAGGCGCAGCCGGGCCCTGACTCGATGCAGTCCCGGCAGGTGCTGACCTTGTATTTGGTGCACTCCTGGGAGAGGACTGGGGGAGAGATGAGACGGGCTCTGTGAGCGGGGCCGCTGACCCCATGGGGAGAGCCGGCGGGCACAAGGGGCTGCGATCATGGACCGGGTGAATGAATGACCAAGCCCACAGGCAGCGGGTGAAAGGAGCGTTAGCAGGAGAACCAGGAAGGATGGGATCGACCAGGGGGCATGCGTCCGCCAGAATCCAAGGTTGGGCCTCCTGGAGGGTTCGAGGATGGGCCCCATCATTCCCCACCAGGAATGTCCCACAGAACTCACCAGACCCGAGGGAGAGCAGACCCCATAGGGTGAGCAGCGGGGAGTGCTGTCGCAGCATTTCCTGTGGAAGGACGGGTCTCGGTGACAGGTCCTCAGACCCGAGTCTGGGGCTGACTGCCCGTGGAGTCCTCCCACACTAGCCTGGAGATGCAGAGCCAGCAGGCCCTGTCCCTGAAGGCCCTGTCCCTGCAGCTGGAGGCCTTTAGCATCTCAGTGAGGCCAGCATAGGTCCTTCTCCCTGACTGCCCTGCCAAGCGGCTCCCATACCCCTGAGCCCACTGGGCCTCCAAGGTTGAGCAGAGAGGGGGCCTCGTGCCAGTAGCATGCATGGTACACTTGCACATACACATTCACACCCACATATCCACACCACGCACATATCACACAAGTGCACACACATGCTCACACAGCACACACAATCCCACATATCCATCACACAAACACACACATGTTCTCACACGCGCACACATGTGAACCACATACCACATACCACGCACATGCATACATGCATGCATGTACCACACACATAATAAACAAACACATACCTACCACACACACACACCTGGGCAGGGCCATTGGTGGCCTTCGTTCTCCCTATGACCTCAGTCAACTGAGCGCTGAGCTTGGAGCAGAGACTTGGGCGACCCAGGCCTCTGGCAGGTGGCAGAAGCAGGACCCGAAAGAGAAGCCATCCCTGAGCACCTTGGGTGCCCTGCCCTAAGGACTGAGGGAGGGTTGTGCAGAGCCACTGCCTGCCGTCCAAGGCACTGGCTGTAGCTGACCATTCCTTTTCTTGATGTATACCCGCTGTCTTAACCCCAGTGCCAGATAAGGCACGGACAGGGCATCTAGTAAAGTGGCTCAGTCAGTGGTCACTGACTGCTGCTGCTCCCAGAGGCACGATCGTGGATGCAGGGTTGGAGGCCTGGTGTTCTAGTTCTGTTCTGGTTCTCGGAGGCAGAGGCAGGATCTGCTCACCCACAGCCCATTGGGCAGGGGCCAGAAAGGGGACGCCTCGGGGACTGGAGACCCAGGCTGGGCGCACAGCAGCTATGATCCTCCGGAGCAGCCGGGGAGGGGAGGCAGGGCTTCCTGGGTGGGTGGGCCTCCGGGTCTGAGAACTGCAGATGACTGTGACCTTTGATCTGACACCAAGCAAGAGAAGGTGCCAAGAAACCAGCAACCAGGAGGTAGCAGGCAGGAAGAAGCCGTTTTTTATCAGAAGCGAAGATCAATACAACTCACCCTGAATGCCAGCTGCTCTCCCCAGAGCGGGCCCCTGAGATTTCTGGGGCACCCTGACCCCAACACACTGCCTAATGGTGAGCCTCCGGGGTGGCTTCGGAGTCCCAGGTCAGCGTGGGTCTACCCAGGCTGGCAGAGGCTCCAACCCAGAGCCCAGCTGCCTGTTCTGGGGAATGCGTGGTCCCTGATGGGGCCTGTAAGGCTCTGGGTGCCTGTGGCCTCTGCTGTGGGTCCCTGGGCGCACAGCATGGGTAGATCCTGCCTTCCCCTTTCCTGTCCCACCCTGCCGCAAGTTCCTATCTTTTTGGATGTGGCCTTGCTCTCTGCTCCCCACCAAGATTATACTCAGGACCCAGAAATGTCAAAACAGAACCCTTGATTCTTCCAGAATGAGCCGAAAGCAGAACTCCGGCCCGCTCTGGCTTCCTGCAGCCGCAGAGGCAGTTTCCGTTCACTCCAGTCCCCCATTTGTGGTCTCCCAATCATGGGGCACGGGGCTCAGGCCAAGGCTGGTCTCAGTTCTTCATCTGGGTTTCCCAAAGTTTGGCAGCTGGACTGGTGCCCCAAGTATGCCCACTGAACCCTCAGCTGACCTGCACTGCCCCAGGGTGCAAGGCCCAGTCGACCCCAGGATAGCACCCCCACTTCTGAGGCTCCAAGCAGAGGATGGTGAGTTCCCTCCCCCAAGCGCCCCAACCATGCTTACTGTCTGGCAGGGTGAACAGATCCCCCCAGGTCTGGGGCAGGACCTGTCAGCACAGTCCTGTCCTCCTTCTTGTGGCCACAGACCTGAACCCCCAAACATTTACCACAACCAGCTTGTAAACTCCTCAGATCCTCACATGGGGAAACTGAGGCCCAAGCAGCAGCAGGATGTGGACCTGCGCAGGATTACACTCTGCACTTCTTCCCACTGGGGAGGGAGGCAGTGCATCTTGGTTAGGGCAGGACCACAGGCCGCAAGGTCCTGACCCTGACCACAGGTAGT